TTGTGATTCCGTTGAGTTACCACCTTTATTATTAACATCAGCATTAATTTATCGCAGCCTGATAGGAGGTTAGTCTTTTCTCTGAATTATAAGCCCAGTACAAATCTTCTTTAGCTTTGAGTTATGGAATGTTTTGCGAGGAACAAATATATGTTTTTCTTAGAAACAAAATGTGGCTGCGGTCCTGCTCGTGATCTCGCACGTCGTCAAGTACCTGTGAACCCATGAAAGTAAATTCGGCTGTCCCAATACGTCCAGTGGTTATTGCGGCGTATGCTCGACAAAGAGAAAATTTTCTGGTTTTTTCTGCTTCTCTAAGTGCACCCGTTTGGCCGTGTTCATATAGGACGATTTTGAAGACATGACGAAACTGCGAGTAGAAGAAAGTATACATATCGCTTTGAAGAACCGTGGAATCGGGAGAAACGCGAAATCTGCAGAAATGACGGATGAGGACTCAATAGGTATCAATCGCTTAGCCCCGCCACTGGAAGAATTGCCTGTTCCGCAGATTTCCGGCGTTGCTACAGTTTCTGCATTTCTACAGATTTTCTCAAATGATTTCTATAATTTGTTTTTCTGCAGATTCGGCACTGTTTCCAGCTCCGCGGTATTTCACATCGATACTACTTTATTTTCCTAAAGTTTTCTCATTTTTTTCAAAGTTGTCATGAACGCGAGCTAACGATATCGTCGGAGTAGTAGGTGCAGACTTACTTGCGTCCCAGTACACGCCGTCTCCTACTACACTAGCCCCTTCATTGTTTACCGGGTCTATGATGGAAGCATAACATGGCGTTTGTAGTTACAAACACCGTCAGTTCAGTCACTCAACCTGCCCGCCTGTGCTCGTCTGCGCTTTCTCATCGAGAAAGCACCGTTTGAGGTTGTTTGGAAATCGTTGTCGATATGTTCGGGACAATCTATTTTGGTGTACAAGGGAAGCGCCTAGCATCACGGGATGTTTCAAAAACGAGGGCCATCCCTGCGATCTGGTACCCTGCGTGAGCTCACACTGATTTTGACATACTCGTATACTGGGTTGGAGAAGTAGTAGCCTTTTTCACGGCCACAGATGAAAACTTTTGGTGGTAGATCTAGAGCTAAATTTTGTGAACGAGGCTGCGTTCATACCGTGCGACGGCGTCGTCAACGTCGACGTAACCGACGAAAGCGACGTAACCGACGTTTTCGACGACTAGAGACTAGATACGTATCGATCCTGTCGACGTAATCGACGTAACCGACGACAGAAGATTAGATACGTATCGACTGACGTCGAAAACGTCGGTTACGTCGCTTACGTCGAAAACGTCGTTTCGTCGGATCGATAGGTATCTAATCTTCGTGAAGTAGTCGTCGGTTACGCAGCTTTCGTTTACGCAGCTTTCGTCGGTTTCGTCCGTTACGTCGGATCGATACGTATATAATCTTCGCGAACTAGTCGTCGAAAACGTCGGTTACGTCGACGTTGACGACTACGTCGCACGGTATGAACGCAGCCTAAAACTATTCGCCTATCACTATCGCTAAATGTTAACAAAAAGTTACCTAAACTCAGTATGTAGGGGTCTGTACCTCCATCACGATTGTGAAATTCGTTTTCGACGTCATCTTTAAAACCTACTTACAGTCAATTTTTCAATTCTTCGGGACGTAGTAGTCGAATCGATAAATTAGGGTCAGAGTACGGGGCCGTGGGAAAGTCGTAATTCCTTGCTACACCGCCCATTTCGCAAACTCACGTTTATGCTAACACCGTCCGCGCGGCGCGTCGCGTGCAGCTCTCTTGGCTTTTTGCCAAGTCCTGTAATTGCGCTTTGGAATACAAGTAAAACGCAATTTCTTTATGCGGATAACATTTTAGGTGCTGCAAAATAAGGACCGAAGATGATGACGAGGACATGACAATACAAGCAAAACGCAATTTCCTAACATTTGAGGTATTGCTCATGCTTCAAAGTCCGAATAGAAGGTGATGAAGATGACAAAGGCTAGAAATGAAGAACAACGAATGTAGATGTAAATAAAACAAAATTGAAAAAACTAAGGAAACGCAAATTAATTAAAATCGCGTGTGCATTTCTGCGATCCGGCTCGAATCCGGCTCCAAAGCCATAGAAATACTTTAAACGAGTGGGACGCTTAGGCCGTTTTTATTTTCATGTTTTGTGGAAATGCGCGGCCTCCGAGGGATATTGCAGAAGCAGCACAGTTGCTCTTGAGTTCTGGCCCTCGTCATCATCTTCGGTTCTTATTTTGCAAAATGTTATCCGCATAAAGAAATTGCGTTTTACTTGTATTCCAAAGCGCAATTACAGGACTTGGCAAAAAGCCAAGAGAGCTGCACGCGACACGCGCCGCGCGGACGGTGTTAGCATAAACGTGAGTTTGCGAAATGGGCGGTGTAGCAAGGAATTACGACTTTCCCACGGCCCCGTACTCTGACCCCGTGCAGTTTTGGGCGGGGGACCACGACACATCGACAGCTGGGGGGCTGATAGTCTCATACACCCTCAATGTGTTTGAGCGTACCATGTGTCTTTAAGAGAGACCTCACCGGCTTCGGCCGAACTTCACTATGTGCTTTGGTATGGAGGGGAGGGGGTGGTGAGGGACACAGACGAGTAGAAAGCCAGTGCAGTTTCGATTCTTTTTTAGTTCGTAGCAAACGATTCCGTATGTTGCCTTCTTGTTATTCATTCCCTTCCTTTAATTCTTCTATCCTTTCCGACCTCAGCAAAATGGCGAGTAACGAACCCGGCATAGCTCAGACAAGGTTATAGTTCACATTGACAGCAAGTGCTAGCGAACACCAACCTTCAACTTCGCTGCGTACTGCAAGCACGTAAAGATTGGATAACCTGACCGGGAACTTGCTCCCCATCAGCTGAACGTTGAAAATGAGCAGGGAAAACGAGCAGGTTTATTTACAAAATCCACGGGCCTCATAAAGAACAGGAAAAACCTGAAAGACCTTCGTTCCAACAGGTGTTTATAGAATGCGATGACAGGACCTCAAACTATTGCGAGTACTGCACTGCTTATGAAACTGATTTCTGAAATCAGGGAAAACTTGCAAGGTCGTGCGATAATTAAATTTAAATTCTGCTCTCGTACACTTTTCTCATTAGTTTCACGTGATTATCGTTATCGAAGGCCAAATCACCTGTGCAGGCTGACCAAAGTACAGTTTTAATGGTCGATGTACTAATAAGAAGAATAACAACCGTATAAGCGTCGGTGTTTTGGTGACTAGGGATTGGCAGTTTTATTGTTGATTGGGAAGTTGTGTCTCCGTTGAGATGGTGAAATGCAAACTCCGTGATTGCATATTGAGGATAGTGGCGTTCACTTGCGGACACCCTAAGTGAGGACGTAGCAGCAGCCTCTGTGGTTGAATTCGTCAGCCTACTCGTTCTGTGCCGTGGAAGCGAAGTCCTACCGCCTTGAGCTCTCTAATCGTTTCTGCGCGTCATGCAATGCTTATAGGCGTTAGAACCATCGTTGTGAGGGCCATAGCGCCTTCATCACTCACTGTGAAACCGCGAAGGTAGGATAGCGGCCAAGGACTAGACTCTTGTACAAAGAAGGACGCCTACGAATTGGTTGAGCGTAGGGACTGCAACCCCACGCTCCTCCGAATTAGCTTACGACCAAATGCTCGCTTAAAGACAGCTCCCGCGATAAAAGTGTCATGGATAGTTGCTGATCAATTATGAAACAGTAGCTGATAAGTAATTCCTCAATGAAGGAAAAAAGCAACAAGAGCCCTCAAGAACACCACAAACAAAATTGCTCCCTTACAGTTACACCGCCCTGCGGTCCGTGGGCAACCCCTGGCTCACAAATCGCTTTATGGCATTTCCCAGTAGTGGACAACATCCAATTCAAAGAAAAGAATATGAAAAACAACAAAGACACGAAGAAAAACACTTGAAAAGGAAAGGAAACTTTCAAAAACAGCGTCAGGCGGCAGGCGTCTTAATTCAGGGTTACGGTAGCGCGCATCCTTTAGTGTGGGCTAATGCCGTTTGGACTCCAGAAATTTCGTCTTCGAGCTCATTTTCAAATTGCCTAAGTCACCAAATCCACTAAAAACTTGTATATAGGGGTAATTCAACATCCTGATTACGAGTATGACACTCATTCTTGGCGCTGGCGCCAAGAGAGGACACTACGATTACCTCCTGGGCTCAGCCTTAGCAGAGCGCAGGTAGAGCGCAGGTAATCGTAGTGTCCTCTCTTGGCGCCAGCGCCAATGAGTGTCATACTCGTAATCAGGATGTTGAATTACCCCTATATACAAGTTTTTAGCGGATTTGGTGATCTTGCCACTTTTAAAATGAGCTCGAAGACGAAATTTCTGGAGTCCAAACGGCATTAGCCTTTAGTGTGGTGTTGTGCGTCGAGCTTTTGCACCACGAAAATTGGGTCGCTCGTGATTTTTACGCGTTTTACCTTGCAAGATGGGTTGGAGTTGACTGTATGTGCTCCTAATAAATAAAATGTAATAAAGGAGAGCAGAACCATTCATGGGCACGAGCGCGGTCAGCAAAAAGGGCATGCAATTCCGATTAATGCCGCCCCAACAAAGAACAACTGAGCGGCTCCTCCGTCAGAGGGCATCTAGCAAGTGGGCGGTCCAACTGGGCGGGCGTTAGAACTAGAACTTTCAGCGGCTGTAGCTCGCTCCTCGCTCGCTGTGGAGTCGCGAGAGTGGGATAGTCTCTAGCTTGGGGGCTACCTGCACAAGGAAGGACGACCATGTACTACTCGAGCGCGGGGGCTGTCTTTAATGCACCAACATGAGCTGTTTATTTGGCACTCAATATTAAATGTTCTTTTTGAAAGGCCTCTTTTTGTCCCGTTGTTCGCAGTCTCAATGTTCGTAATGTTCAGATGCACGAGAAAAGGACGTGGCTGAGATCAGGCGTCAACAACCGAATAAAGTCCCCGTGATTATCGAGAGGTTCGATGGTGAACGCAGTCTGCCGCTAATGGATCGCTGCAAATTCCTAGTACCGGACCATATCACTGTTGCTGAACTTATGCATATCATCAGGCGCAGGTACGGTTGCAAAGCCGAAAACGTGTTAGTTTTGTTGACGAGAGCAAAATGTGTAGGCTATTCCGTAGATCATTGCTTCTTTTATAATTAGTAACATAGCTTCTCGTCCCTTGTATGAAGTACGAGTGGAAAATCACGTGATTTTCACGTAGGTAGGGTTTTTGGGTCAGCAGAACCACTCAAGGCTTATCTGTGGGAGTGGCAGGGGTGATAGCAGTGGAGCACTGTCAGTTGCTGGGCCTTGAATTTTATAAATTCCACTACTAGGCTTCCTCCTAGCGCTGTTGAGAAAATTGCAACTGCGGAAGTGCGACAGATGTGGAAAAGCGTTCATACTCTGCTGCAGCGTTTTGAGCGTCCGCCAGCGTTTTGAGCGTCGAGAAAAATGTTGGTATCGATCGCGTAGATCCGGTTCCATTAAAGTCTTCAGAATGATTCATTCGAACACTAGAGATGGTCCCATGAAGATCTTCTCGTCAGAAACCAAGACTATTACGTGTAAAGAGCTTCATCCTTCAGGGCGGGCAGCGCGTATTTGAAGTTGGCAAAAAGCACACTTGCCACTTTGTCACATGCTCAGTTCAGACACCGTATTCTCAGCAGGCTATTGAGGTAGTGGGTCTAGCTCCCTCGAGGCTGGTCGATAAGTAGGGGATTCGCTGGTTAATTATCCTATTGAAAAATTGGAGTTAATGTATTAATACTGTAAGTTGTATACGTAGTGCTGTTTAGATTTTTTTCCAACGTATGCCTTACGCACACTTAATAAACTTATACTTAGGATCTAGCTTGACAAGCCAATGCTGCAGTGCGTCAGGTCGCTAGACTTAAAGGCAGTTGGCACGATAAATCCTCCAGAAAGAGTAGGACTAATAGATTAATATGCCTGGCAGGACGGAATTAGTAAAGCGCTGCATAATGCCTTTTCCAAGGAGGTGCCCTTATAAGGGCCCTATCAAGCCACAACATTCCGACCCAAACGCCCGCCCGCCCACAAATGGACGACCGTTCCTGACGCTCTAATCGATTCATTTGCTAAGCAAATTATGAAGCGAAGGGATTGGTATGAAGCGGCCATGATGCTGCATGCATACATGGGTACACATATGCAGCCGTACCTTCGGAGCGGTTATTGGCAAGGCTCGCCCACAGCGAAACCGTTCCCAATCAATTGATACTAACACATTGAGAACCGAGGCTCTTTCTCGCAGGATTTTGACCGTTTCACTCCGTTCTTTCGCCATTTCCCCACTGTATAGCGCCCTACTATCATTTTAGGCCGAGCACCAAATCATCAATCATCGTGCCAACTGCTTTTAAGCAAATTGAATACCATTTCATATAAACACTTGAATACGGTTACCTTTAACGCCTTTGCTTTTATTGTGCCCACTATTAGATCCAGAGGGTTAGCTAACACTTGAGTTTCGCCAGTTTTCAGTTTTCTTGCTCATGGCTACTCGAACGATTCGGTCGCCCATGTCAAGCGACTTGCGGCCAAGAGTGGGTCCATCGCTAGTTTTTTTTTTACTGCGGCTACTTCTGCTCCAATCAGGAATGTCTAGACTTTTCCGTCACGCATTTATGCTGTTCCGCTAGTCACTGAATGCGATAGTGTTCAAAGTTAGAGCGGTCCAACGATTAGCAGCGGAGCGCCTCAATCGCAGTTGCTTGACATGAGCAAGTGAATCGCCGCGGAGTATGACTTTCGTAGAGACTGCTGCGTATAAGACAAAAGCTGCCGTATAACTCATAGATACCACATTCGCACATAGTCCAGGGCAATCCGTCATGAAAGGTACGGGAAATACTCACCAGTTTGCGTGTGGATATCCCTATTAGGCCGCGTTCATAGTTTGCGACCGTGAAGAAATGCAGAAATGAAGAAATGCGCAATATGCAGAAATGACGAAAAGGATCTAGATACGTATCGATTTAAAGAAATGCCGAATTGCGAGTTGGAAAATCGATACGTATCTAATCCTTTTCGTCATTTCTGCAGATTCCGCACTTCTGCAGTTTCGGCATTTCTCTGCATTTCTTCAAATCGATATCTATATAATACTTTTAGTCATTTCCGCCGATTCCGCATTTTTTCATTTCTGCATTTCTTCATGGTCGCAAGCTATGAACGCGGCCTTGGAGCTACATTTTGGCAGTGCTACTTCTTCCATTATAATGTTCGAAAGGAAAACCTACGATCTACGGTCATTGATATTATATGATTAGTTCTTAGATCTTCAGACTGCAGCTGCATCCGGAACAAGCCTTCTTCCTTCTAGTCAATGAGAAATCTGTTGTCTCTAATTCCATGACCATGTCTCAGCTTTACCAAACGGATAGAGATCAAGACGGATTCCTCTATGTTGTGTACACCAGCCAGCCGGCGTTTGGATTTTCCATACCTCCTCTTTCTGCAACTCAGGTTATTTTTGTCGGCGATTGCAACTGACAAATATCATACGTTAGAATGATTTACGCTTATTTACAAATTCCATCTTGGCGGCACTAACTGAGCACATGCTGTTGCTTCATTTGTAATTAGTTGTACATAGCCATTGAAACAACATTGTCTTCAAATGAATTGTACATAGTGAGCATATTCGCCTCAGTGTTTTTTCTTTCAACACTATTATTCTTGTGATTTTACTAAGTCAACTTCGTAGAGTTTACTCCACCTTAATGTGTGCTCCAGCTATTCGCATTTTGCCACCCAAGTTTTACTGAAGTTTTCATCATGCGAAACATTCATTTTACTGTCTATCGCAACGTTCAATACATATTCTAGAAAACTTGCATGTTGTTAGAATTTGATTTGATTGCTGACAGACAATTTGGTACCCTTCATTACATTATTGTGAGCAGTAAATAGGAAATCATTAATGCATAGTTAACCGCACTCTAATTACGCTGTCCCATGCCGTGCAGTTAGACGAGCTTAAGCGGCTTTCCCATCTGTACGATCCACCAGGTAATTTATCAACTTTTTTTGCATGCTCATGTCGCGAAGCCTTGTGATGTACGTGGAGAGGCGACAGCCTTGCCACATCAGGCATAAGCGAAAGAGGGGGTGGGGGGGTCCGGCCAGCGCCACATATTTCGACCGTCAGCCGTCCCACATGCCGATAGGCAAACTATAGGTATCGATTTAGGTTTACGCGCGTGCCCACAAGGTACATCAGCAGTTTCGTGCGCACTTTTGAATTTGAGCCAAAAAAGCCGTGAATGACCTGCTATGATACGCTGTGGGACGCCACGGCGTTCGCAGGATCATAGCCTATACTTTCCTAGTGTTCGCAGACGCTGCGTGACACTGATAGACCCCGCGTGCTCGTGAGATCAAAGACTATGCCTTTGCAAATAATGAACGCAGCCCCAGTACCCTTGTGGGTTTGTATCCTATAACAAAAATTCAAATAGGAATTCAGAACGTGGTTCACCATTAGCGTAGATTTCGTCCCGACCCCACCTTTTTCGGTCAATTTGCTAGGGCTGCGACCATACTTTGCGAATGCGGAGATTTCGCCACTTCGTCAAATGATATGGCCTTGGATTCTTACCTAAAGGTTTGGCTTACATTCTTTGGAGTCGTGGAGTCTCCAGTGCTATATACACTTCTCCCTGTCGACCGATTTTTTTGAGGGGAAGTGGAGGAATGTTTGAGAAAAAGGAAAAGTAGGTAAGAATTTGGGCCCAATTCAGAATTTCAGGTAGGATGACATACGGAGAAAGAGTCGTACCGAAGGAAATCGAGGAATTGTATTTTGAAGAATTTTCTCCAACGGTAGGACGTGTCCCGCTATCCAGATCAATTCTCATGCGTACGTGTGCTGCACGTTCACCCAGTTCGGGAATTTTCCACAGAATGTATGACATCGTCGTAATCACTTGGGGCGATGGCACGGGGGGGAGGGGCGAAATGAGCCTGCCTCCTTCGGCCATCCCTCCTGAAACTGCCCGACTGATCTCTATGATGTAAACTGCATGCATGGGTTTATGGAGCGTTGCTTCCCAGTCGCGACTTCTGTAGATAAACAGGCGCTGCATGCGAGATGACGCTCAGTGGGACGAAATTCGCACAAGGAGAAGTCTAGCCAATGTAGCTGCTGCGGCAAATCGGCTCTTATTTTTGACATCTCGCAATTCCTTTTCTCTGCATTGTGTCTGACTGGTGCAGCTGCGCAAAGACCTCGTTCAGACTTCGCGAAGTCACCAATCGCTCGAGAGTTCCACTCTCGAGCGATTGGCTGAAGTGAACGTGGTAAGGAAATGGTCTGCCAGTTCTGCGCAATACTGCAACTCGGAAAAGACCGCGTTCTGACTTCGCGATCCAAACTCTCGAGCTAACCGATCTCGCGCGATCTAGTCGACCACTGCAAAGGCTTGCAAGGTCTGTGTGCAGTATTAGGAGGATCCAATACTCAACTGCCCTTCGATGTGTGCTTAGGAATGCTCTTAACGCTTTTCCTGTACCTTATTGCCTCAAAGGCCTTCAGTCATTGCAAATGAATCTGTTCATTTCCTTATCTATTCTCACTGTTGACCTGGGCTCATTGACGTTCCTATTCGTGCTTGTCGGTTCCACACCAAAATAGAAGCGGTGTGTCACGCCAAAAAAAAACAAGACCCCATGAAGCGTAATCATGCCATAATTGAGAGCTGTTATCAGTGTGACGATACGCGAAGTCTGACGAGGAATGGCCAAAAATGGGGGCAAGTTATGAACGCCTCTGTATCTGCACATGACAAAGAGGTTTCTTTATTAAATATCAGTCTTCGTAGGATCGCAGAGGACAGACGGACGGAGGAGACGAGCTCGTAGTGATGGTAGTTAAGGACCAGGAACCCGCATTATCATCTCGATTTGAATCCATCACTGCAATACTTCACATTATAGACATAAAAACAAGGCTCGCTCAGCGGGACTTATTATGTCAACTTATTAATATTTCTAGTTAATTTTGAATGACTTCAATTTATTGGATTTTTGTACTATTTTTTATACATATCCGGGTTCACTGCTATGCAGGACACAGCACACTGACACTGCGCTGTTCGATATAACTGCCCCTCTCATTAAAGAAACCTCCCAACTTCGACTGCCAATACGCTCTCCCCTTGTTGGGGATCCCCACCCAGATGATGTGCCCTGGGAGGGTAGGTATACCTGGGTGCCCTCTCCAAACACAGCCCGCGCTCCTGCACGGCCCGTCACACGCCTAACCAGAGCCGAACGCGCTACCTGCCTGCGCTCTCTCACTTCTAGTTGTTCTCTACCACTGAGTGCGTGTTTCGCTGATTCGATCGGGACCTCGATTTCGACGCAAGTACTCCACATTGAGAATAGCTTGGGTGGATTATGGAGAGCTCACCCAGGTATCATACCTTCTAGCCCGTTCTCGCTTTTGAACAGCAAAGGGTACGCTCCTGCAAATATAAACCTTTTACCCACACATTAGAAATGGACCGTCCTCAACTTGAGCCTTTTGACTTTGATGAACATAGCCTTTTTCCATCCCCGTGGTTCTGAGAGGCATATAAACGATGGTTCTGAGATCATACTAAAACGATAAATCGCCACTGAAATGAACTAATATCTCGGACAAATTCTAGGCGACCTTTTTAGGACAAAGCAAACCCAGTGCGTTTTCGAAGTGTTTTTCAGCAAGCTTGCTTTCCTCATGTTGAATATCCTTGCAATTTCATGATCAAAATTCTCCAGGAGAACAGAGTCCAGGACGAAGCAAGCAAATGTTGTCATTTCTCTGGTTCTTAATTCACTTTCTGTCCGCGATGAACTAAAGCTCAAACCTGCTTGAACGTGTATAGTGAGTGCACCAAAGGATGCAAACAGCCAGAGGCAGCTACATCATTGAAAGATGAAATGGCAACGCAAGCGCAGAAGCTCAGGTTTAGGCCCACGGGGTCTAGTAGGCCCATGCCGACGTTGCCGTCGTGATAATGTCATTGCGCGCTCCCCTGACCATCGCTTTCTGGTCTTCTCCCGCCGCTCCGCGTCTGTCAATGTGTCGTCACCTTTTGCAAATCGCGCTCGAACTTGACCATCTTATGCTCGTGCGTTTGTTACGACTGATTGCAGTGAAGAGGCTTCTACTGCGGGCGGTTTTTCACCATTTCCCCTTCATTAGCTACTGCACCAAATTCCTATTTTGAACTCTATCACCCACGACTGCAATCGCGGGAAAAAAAAAAAAAAAAAAAAAAAAAAAAAAAAAAAAAAAAAAAAAAAAAAAAAAAAAAAAAAAAAAAAAAAAAAAAAACGGAGAGACCCTAGTCTATTCAGATAAGCGACAGGTCAGATGTACAAGAGTTAATGTGATTCACATACGAGACACATGACCCTTCACTGAGGACCCGTCATATACCCCAACATCATCAAAACAAGTTTGTAAATCT